GGTGTGAGTGAGACAGAGACATGTCTCTCGGTTGAGGATGGTGGCCCTGTGGACTTCTGGAGTGTGGGACATACCTAGGCCTGTGGGTCCCTCCAGATGCATGCCACATGGGAAGCAAGGCCCCAACCATGCACCCACAGCATCCTGCTTGCTACAAATAAAGAGACCAGCAGAGGCCCACGGGGCGGGAGCTCATGGCGTCGTGGTCATGGAGCTTACCTGTCCTTACCTCCAGGGGCGTCACGTGCAGCCTCACCACACGCGTGTGTCTGAGATCTTTTAAAACAAGAATGTATGTACGTATTGCGAGTATAAGAAGAAAGATCTAGAGTTGGGGAGCTGGCCCTGGAAACAATTCCACCACGGTGGGCTGGAAGCAGACTGTAGAGCTGAGAGTGGAAACACGGGGACGCAGGTGAGCACATGAACAGCCCTCCTGGTAGTCCCACGGAGAGACCCATCCCAGGATTCCAGAGCCTGGGCAGATCTGAGGCGGTGGGTGCTAGTCTAGCACAAGGCCTGGCACAGGGGGTGCTCCAGCCAGGGGGTTTCTGTAAGCTGATGACAGCTGTGCAGTCATCAAAGGCATCCTCTGTGGGCTGTGCAGATGCATGAGGGGCCGAGACACGGGACCTTTGAGTCCAGTGTACTGGGGACCCAGCGAGGGCAAAGCCCTACCCATGCACCTGACTGACAGGAGAGGCCATCCCAAGTGGCCCAAAAGGATGACAGGCAATTGGCCAATGGGAAGGGTGACCGAGCCAGAACTGCCCATGCTAGGTCCCAGAGGGGCAGGAGAGCCGGCGTGCTCTGGGACATAGGCAGATCGGAGTATCCCTAGGGTAGAGGGAGGCCAGGGTGGGCTGACAGAGAGCAAGACAGGGGAGAGGCCACTGTCTCGTGGGCCACACTGTGGAGAAGCTCAGCCCTGAGGCAGGGGCAGGGGTTCTGGGAGCCCAAGGGTAGTGGGAGGCCAGGGCAGTCAGTGCAGCGAGGGGCCAGGGCCTAGCCGAGAACTCCGTTGGGGTCTGGGCAGGGTAAAGCAAGCTGGGGCCCAGCTCAGTGAGGACCAAGGAGTCCGGGGAGGTGCTGGTCTGGGCCAGGGAGCCCGGGGTCTGACGGCTAGTGGACCATAGGGTCTTCCATCCTCCCCCACCCACTAGAGGCCCAGGCAGGGCTGAGGGACACTTCCTCACCCCAACTGGCCGTAAGAGCCTGGCAGAGTGGAGGCACAGGGCTGGGTAAAGTTAAATGGGTCTCGGGTCCCCCAGGCTTGCCGTGGACACCCAGCTCCCCAAGGAGAGCCTGAGTCAGCACCACAACCACACCACCGGCTGCCCTGCGGCTCCGGCCTTCCTCGGCCCCCCTCCCTGCCACGCTGGCCACTTGGGAGAGTCATTTCATTTCTCAAATTAAAAATCCATTTTGTGCTGTGAATAATAGATGGGACGAGCCCTGGGAGGGCGGCAGTGGGCAGGAAGCTGGCTGGGGGTGTTTCCAGGGCACAGAAGATACCGCAGAACCACCGAGGCTGGGGCTGCTGCATACAGTACGGGCTGGGGACATCTCCCAAAGCTGCCTCCCTGCCCGATGACGCCAGAGGGCCTGGCTGTCCCTTCTGCACAGGACAGAGGGAGCAGGAAGGGGTTGACCAGGTGAGCGCTCTGGTGCAGGGAGTGCTTAGTGTGAGCCACGGCCCCAGTGCACACAGAGTGGGCCACTCGGCGTCCTCCAAACCAGAGCTCAGACCCACTGTGGTGCTGGGTGGCGGGATCGGCTCGGTCTGCCCCTTGTGTACCTCGTCTCCCCCTGCCCCCTCCCCCTGTCTGGCCGCTGCCTACCCTCTGTCCCCACAAGCTGGGCATCCAGTTACCTCTCTTAGGACACGGCTGGGCTTAGCTGGCCACCGCCACATCCAGTCATTCTCATCAGTTATGGGGTCACCTTGGCAATAGGGCATGGGAAGAGTCCTGGGAGCCTTACCAAGAGAGTGAGGGAGCTGGGGATCCCCGTTGCCCCCACTGGCAGCTTCAGCTTCCCTTTGTGAGAAGGGGTGAAAGAGAGAAGGGAGACAGTTGTAGACTCCTCTTTGTTGGCAAGCTGTGAAGGGGTGACCAGGACTGAGTGGCCAGAGGGCCTGATCCAAGTCAACTCTGGCTGGCCCTGGGTGCCTCTGCTCAGAGCTGGGGCCAGGCAGGGAGCCCGCGGGGCGAGGTGTGGGTGTGAGGTGCTGAACAGGGCGGACAGGCAGGGCGGCCTGGATGGGGGTCAGGAGGCCAAGGGAATGGACGGATGGCAGCTGAGTGGGGAAGGGATGGCCCGAAGGGGCCCGGAGAGCTGACCAAGGAGCAAGGAGGGGTGTGTCCCACCCGGTCGTGGCTGGAGCCCAAGAGTCTCTGGGGAAGCATGTTTGCTTCTGTGCCTTTCTGTCGGAAGGGTCGGCTCTCTGAGACAATATCCATTTTTATATTTCTTGGAAATTTCACGGCATTCATTTCAGGGAAAATAAAAGCTGTCATTGCTGGAGAAATGATACCAATCAGGGCCTGAAAAGGCTGGAAAATTATCCTCCTGGAGACTGAACGTTGAGGGAAAAATGCAGATTAAAAGCACAAAGAACCACTTTGCCACCGCCCTGCCCTCCCCTCCCCCTCGTGGAATCACCGCATTTTACATAACTCCGGCTCTCCCCGTGGAATTAATTGGGCCCAAGAAGAATGCATGGGGCAGAGGAGGACTCTGGGGTGGCCGGAACCAGAGGCAGAGTCTCTCCCGAGTGAGTGCAGGCCTAGAGATGGCGAGATGGACAGGTGGAAGACAGGAGAGCAGAGCTGGCCACTCAGGGCCAGGGGCCAGGAGCTGGGCTGACAAGTGGCCCAGGGGAGGGTGACAGGCCAGGATCACTCCCTTGAGCCCCAAGCATGCCATGAGTTTTACCAGATGGAGCCCCAGGGCTGTCTCCAGCCGGTGGCCAGGCCTGGGAGTGCTGGAGCTCGGTGGGGGACACCTGCCAGGCACACCAGGTGGAGAGACACTGGTAGGATGGGGCAGAGAAAGCAGTGAGTCTGGAAAGTGTCGCTCAGCCAAGATGCCCAAGCTTCCTGTGGCCCAGGCAGCCAGGACCTGTGGGTACAGTGGAGAGGTAGGAGGGAGGAACAGGACAAAGGCAAGTTCCAAGGAAGCGGGAAGTGAACACAAATTCAGAGCTCCCCCCTGCTGTCTTCCGACGGGCACACAGTGGGCAGGGCAGGAGTTCTAGCGCTGGCACAGGGTGGAGGGGCCGGGCTGTCCCCTCTCTGAGCCTTTTCTCCCTGCCTGGACCAGGGACTTCCTGAGCAGTGATGCCAGGGCCTGCCAAGGGCCCTCTCCTGCTGCCCCTCCATGCCTCTCCCTCCTCCAGGGCTGGGTGAAGGGAGCGTGACCATCCAGACGCCTAGACGCCCGCACTCGGGGCAGAGCTGATCCAGGGCAAGGGTTACCAGGATCTGAAAGCCTGGAATTGTAGGCCCGCGGGATGCCAGGCACTGGGGCATCGGCACCCCCCAAGCCCTTCCTGGCGGTCCTGTGCTCCAGTCTTCTGGGCTGGCCTAGGGGCCCGCGTACCTCCTCCTCTCCAGCCTCTGCCCCTTACCGGCGGGCAGGTGGGCGGCTCCGAGCCGGGAACACCAGATCAGAGGGGACCCGCTTCCCGGCAGAAGCAGCTGCCCTCCTCCCGGGACACAGCTGGACCCGGAGTTCCGAGCCCAGAGCCTGTGCACGACCCTTGGGAGCGTGTCTCCGCTGCTGTGGTCCCCACCTCCGCGCTGCCGCGGAGCTGACAGGTAGCTGGGAGCGAAGCAGGGAGAAGGAGGGGGCGCGCCGGGCGGGCGGAGGAGGGTGGAGC